CCCCACCCCCAACCCCCCCCATCCCCAAAAGTTTCTCAGCGGATTTGGGCTGTACTCAGCAAGCGCAGTACAGCTTCCAACTCAGATCTGAAAAAAAATTAGTGGATGGTTGTTTTCTGACTGGTCGGCAGACCGCCAACCGGTCGGCCCTACTGGTCGGCTGCAATACGGTCGGCGGTCGGGGTCGGCGGTCGGCAGGGATGCAACCATGATGTTGTTAGTTTTTACTAACTTCTTAGAAAATTGTTAGTACTTTTTTTTTTTTTTTTTTTTCCCCCAGTCAAAAATTTAAACCACCAGTTCACAGGATCCGGAGTAGAGCACTACTTAGGCAGGTTCATGTAAACTGGTGGGTGGAATACAGAAGAGAGCGCCACCAAACAAATGGACCTTGCTATCATGGTGTGGACTTACTGGTTCTCATTTTTTATTTTTATTTTCAATTTTTTGTCGTTTTTTTCCCCGAACTTTTTTGAGTTTTTGTGTTTGTTAGGGTTTGGATGTGCATGCACAAAGACAAGAACTTAAACCACTAGAGTTTTTGCGTTTTTTAGTACCTCCCGGCCTGTTTTTGCGGATCCTGAATTTCACTGTGCACGGAAAGTTGCAGAGCCTGTTTTTTAGTACCTCCCGGCCTGTTTTCTTTTCTGCTTCTCTTCGAAATGGAAAAAAAAAGAACAGCGAAAAAAAAAAAGCAACAACGCGAGGCGGCTAGGGACATGAAAGCAGACGGATGCAGAATCTGGGGTACATCTGAGAGTATGCACTCCCAACGGGCATTACAGCCCTGCTGAAATCATGGCAGCAGAAGCAAAAAAAAGACCACAAAAAAAAAGGCAACAACTCTTTGGATGTGAAAGCAGCTAGATACAGAATCTGGAGTACATGTGAGAGCATGCCCTCCGAACGGGCGTTAACAGCATGCTGGTCGTCAACGGCGGAGGGTCTTGAAATCTGCGTGGATGCTGCTGCCTGCGGAAGATCTCGTGGATGTCCTGTGTTGACGACACAAGTCCTTGCTGCAACGATGCTGGGGTGGGCTGAATGTCACGACCGGTATGGCTTCAGTTTTGGACACCGGGTCACCGTTGCAGTGGGGCAAAGGCTTCCGGCTGCTGCAGCCGAGGTCAACCGTTCAATTCCGTTTATTTTTATCTATTGGATTTGACAGGACTTCGCCATTTATTTTTATCTATCGGATTTGTTTTTCGTTTACAAAATTGCGTTTTGCTAGTCTTCTTCTTTTGTATGAGTTTTTATTAATTCAGAAATTCATAATTACTAATAATTAGACTCAATTAGAAATAAATTAACGATTCTGTACTCTGACAGATGAGAGTATCGTGTATGTCTTCTTTTCTTTGTCTTCCACACAGATGTGAATTTGTGAAACCTTTGTTGACGCAATAACCTTAACAACGGACAGCGGCACAATGATCAGACTTCGTAATAGTCAGCCTAACGACTCCTCATGTGAAGTCAACGCTTAATGATGAAGCTTTGACTGTGGACTCATTAGGTCAAAGCTGTTGGAGTCAAAATTACGAAAGTCAAAGCTATTGAAGTGAAAGCTGTTGAAGTCAAATCTATGGAAGTCAAGGCTATGAAATCCGAAGCCATGAAAAGGTCGAATCTATTGAAGTCAAAGCTGTTGACCTGAGGAGTCAAAGCTGGGTGGGATTTGTGTGAGGACCGCAGGAGATGGGGCTGTTGTCTTGCTGGTCTGTTCTGTCTCCCTCTTGTTTCGCGTCTTGCTGGCCTATGCTTGCTGGTGATAAGCAACCGGACCGAGGTGCCCCAGAATGTAGATCGGGCCTTTGTTTTTTTGGGTTTTTGTTTTTGTTTCCCCTAATTTAAAGCTTGGGAGTTCTGAAGTCCGAAATTTAACCTCAACTGGCTAACATTTATGTAGAAGGG